GGCCGGGAGGCCGGTTTGTATTGTCTAATGACAAAAAAACTGTGAATGTTGTATATAAAGACATTCTGTAGTATATTTAGTATGTTCAGGGGGTATCTTTTGAAGATTTCCCCTTTTCGATAATAATCTAAACAAAACAAAAATATATTTAGTATCAGCATTGCACCCGTGCGAAGTTGGGGTGGGTCACTAGTAAATAATAAAGTAATGTGTAAGTCCAATCAATGCAAGTCAAAGGCTTGAGGGGGTGTTACGTTTTGTTCAAAAGAGTTTGGGAGTAAGTTTAGGGCATTTTTTAGAGAAGCAAGTTTTCAAAAAATGTGATTGAAAAAATATATTTCTTACGTTCACCAATTTTTGTGTTTTCACTCGTGCTACATAAAGAAATGACAAAGAAACGTATAATTTCCACGTTCGGTGAACGTTTTGCCTTGCCTGTATGTCGTGTATATTACGTGTGTGTTATGGAATATGAATTGAATGAAGGAGCATTTAAAATAGGACCTCTACAAAACGTTTCAGGACATCGAACTATTAGCAACACAGAGATTTATATTTAGAAATTAAAATAGGGATCATGTTTATTCACGGTGTTCATATTTATACTCATCTTAAAGTCGTTGAATCGTTCTTAATTAAACAGTTTCTTTTTGCAAAACAAAAATTCGAAAATACATGTTAATTTTTGAATTTAAATGCATGAACAAAAGATATACAAAAACAAAGTATAAACAAAAGATTCACAATACTATTAAAATCGAGCAGTTTCTTCTTTGTTTTTTTAAAGTATCTTTTGATGTTAAGGACACTCTGTATATATATGACATAAAAATTGGGAATAACTTTGAGGGAGATTGTTATTTACAGATACTGATGAACATTGAGCTTCATAGTAAATTTAAACGCCATTAATAAATAATAAAAATACTCCAAATGGTGATAAACGATAAGGAAAAATGATTTATTGCCAATTATAAGTTATTATTATTCATTACAACATTAAANCCAAAATAAGAAATCATTATTATTATTTCTCAATTTGAAAGATAGCAAAAAAGTTTTGAATCGAAGATTATTTTTGTTATTGTGATTTTGTCTGAAAGTTTTTAAAAATAATAAATAAATTACGAGTACCCTTACATCTTATTTTTTATTTACTATAACTGATGGATAGAAACTAATAAAACATTAATATTCAAAATTACGATCGAACCAAAAACATAAAAAAAAAGATTTTTACTCACGTTATGGAAGATGATGCAGTTTTTGTAAAAACAGTTAAAAACAACACTATCGATGATGCACAAATCAATATTTTCTTGCCCATTGTTTTCCTGCAAGAGGAATAATTAAAATCTAGACGTGAAATATAATACTTAAGTAATTTTCGTTAACAATAAACAAACACTAAAACAATTTGCTCATAAATGTTGTAATAGAGTTCTTAGTAATTGATATACTAATACGTTTAACACTATATGTAATTGAAAAGATAAAACCGATATATATTGAACTTTTGAACTGTTTTATACATGTAGACATGTTCCATTAATAATTTTAACAGTAACAGTTACTGCTGTTATATTGACACTCTTAATTATTTTCAGTTTCATGTCCATAGTAAAAATTAACAAAAAGTTCGTTTCTTCTTTGTTAATTAAAACATATACTAATTGTAAAAGGAAAGACCTTCGTGAGTATATAGGCCCTTAATTGTAGTTAATGACTTGACATAAATTCTTAAGTGGAGATAATTAATCATTTAAGGGTGAGAAGTTCAGAAGGAGGAACATACAACTTTGATCTTTAAAAATGCATCTTAAGATGATAAAAAGTAAAGCCATAAAACATGTATATTGTACGTCTATTAAATTAAAATAACATAATAAAACTTGCAATTATCAATGGTAGAATTTACAATTAAAAATGTTCATTATTCGTAAATATACAAAATAGTTTTCTTTATTTATATTTATTTTAGGTAGAACAAAAATATTGAAATTTAATCGTAAGTTTTGATAACAGGATCTTATTTATTTTGGTTTACATACTTTTTTTTAATAGTTGTATGATTTCTTCACTACATCAAAACACAAAACTACTGAAGAGTCACTACAAAAACTAGACAGACTTCTTCTGGCTTAGGGTTAATAAAAGACTAACGAGGCTAATGAGAGATGAGCACAAAATTGAAAATTAAAAAATGCCGCCTTTTAAAAAATTTCATTTCGGCGCCATCTGTTTCAAAAGAGCTGAACTGTTACTGTAGTACCAAGAAAGCAGTGTAGAATTCTCTACGTTCCTTTCGGTGATCATAGATCAATTATGTATCTCTTATCTATGGGTGCTGTCAGTTTATCTAATTTTTCTTGGTTTGGTTATGTTTGAAATGTGTGTCGTTAAAGTTATCGTTGTGGATATTTATAAAGAGAAATGCTAAGTGTCACGTTAATTTAACAATAATAGAAACGTTAACATTAACGTTGAATGCTTTTGCTAGCCGAAGAAAATGCAAAGACTTTTGAATATCCAAAATACACAATTAAAAAGTTTCAGGAAGCTGACACCGTGCGGTAGTGCTAGTGTTTCTAGAGCAAATTCGACAATAAATTTGAATTTTACTGCAAAAGGTAAGAATTTTGCATGTTGTATGTTGATATTTTGCTAATATTTTCGTATTGCATCATTACAACGTTGCAGCTTGTCTTTCTACATGCCCGAATCCAAATGTTTTGCAAAAGAAGAAGAAGTTTAGAAGGAAGAGTGACAAAAAGTTTATGGAGCTTTTAGTTGGTACAAAACTTTGTTAGTTTGCTTTACAAGATGTATTTTACTAAAAGTATTATCTTTACAGTGACAGATAACTCAACCAAAGAAGAGAAAGCCCCTGTAAGGCGACTGGGCCCCAAACAATTGAAAGCTTTAGTGGAAAGTGACTTCAATTTAAGTGTCTTGTTCAAATTAAACCCATTAAGGCATATAGAAGAACATACATATAATAATTTAAATATAATAGATAGCATACCAGAAACTCAAAAAAATGATTTACTAAATCATGAAAATAGTGTACCGTCTGAAGAAGAAAATGCCGTTGTCCAATTAGTCAATGAACAAGTAGATAATCCATTAATAACAAGTGCTGAAAAAATTTTAACAGCAGATTTTCCCTCAAATGAATTTGTAGATGATTTAAGTGGGTATGTGGTAATTAAAAGTCATATTAATTGTTATCTTTATATATTTAGAAAAAAATAAATAACAGGCAAATAGCCCTGTACATATTAGTATAAAATACATGTATGGAAGTTTACAAAAGTACAAATTAATCATTAATTGTTTATTTTAGATTAAACAGTTTTCGTTCTTTTGGAAAATTTCAACCAGAAGTATTAGAAGAAGAGCCATTAGAACTTGATGAAGTAAAAGAAACGGAACAAGAAAAGGTTCCCACTCCTTTCAAACATAAAACAATAAGTGAGGAAATATCATCCCAAATACTGTCTGCTTATGTGGAAATATGTTCCAACATGAAGGATCCCCAGAGGGGCTTAAATGCTTTAATTTTTCATAGATCACAGTCTCAAAACAACCCAAATAATTTTCCACCTCTTAGAACTGCTAGTGTATATAATGCACTAATAAAAAGCTTTGCCCTTAAAGGAAGTCTTAAGAAAATTGAGGAAATTTTAAAGTATGCTGCAGAAGATGGTGTAAATTTAAATGTCCAAAGTTTTGCCAACATTTTCGATTGTCTTGGCAGGATTAATATTAAGGGTTCTTATTTGAAACAGATTAGAATTTTTGTAAAGGAAATGAAAAAGAGCAATATTACTTTCAATGACATTATCAACACCGCAATATTTACAAAGGAACAAAAGCAACATGTTCTTGATGTGATCCAGGCATATGAACAAAGTTACGTGCCTTATTACCATAAACCGAGAGTCACTTATGTAAATCATTTAGTGAAAAATCTTAACATAGCAGAGGAGGAAATGGAACTACATCGTAAAGTCGTGACTCAGGGTAAAAACAAGGAAAGCTTTCTAAGTGAAGAAAAGATGAATAAATTAATATTTGAACAGTTAGAATTGGAAAAAATAGGGTATCTTGAGGTATTAATGTTGTTTATAGTTTTTATTTAAAAATTATGGTCGTCATTGTGTCTCAGGTACGAAGTATCGAATCAAAGGGGCCATCAGGGGAGAGTGTACACCAATTTCGAAAAGTATTGAAACAGCACTTCAAAATGTGGGAAGAATCTGCATTGGATGGATTTAACAGGGAACTTGCTGCGTTAACTGCGAGAAGGAGCGTTTTAAACATGGAGCCTTATCTTCGTGCTATTCCTACTAAAGAATATATTAAAATAGTGTTAGAAGAAGCAAAAAAATTGGCTCAAGGATCTGAAACATACAGTCCCACAGTGAATCAATTGTATAGGGAAATGGGAAACAGGGTTTATTCCAAATATAAAGTGCTTTCTAAAGAAAAGGCTGGCGTTTTGGATAAGGTAATTAATTAAGAATTTGATTTTTGTAAAATAAAAAAATTGTATTGTATTGATGTAATTTTATTAATTTTCAGGTCTTGAACATTCACACAGAGTACTGTAAGCAGTATGTCAACGAGCACCAGAAACTTGGTAGTCTTCCAGATCATGAGAAGAAAATTAATTCACGACAGAGGTGGCAGTTAATCGAGTATTCTCTTAAAAGTGAAGGAGCTTCTTCCGTTGTTGATCACAACGAGTGGGTCCCCACTGTACTCACGTTTATAGGGAAATTTCTTTATCACATTGTCATGTATGATATAAAGATTGACGTTAATTCTATGAAGAACGTTAAACACAAGTAAGTGATTAATATTTTTTAGAGTTCCACATTAAAAAATTAAAGGAAACTTAAATTACATTACATATGACTGAAAATAAATAAAATAATTCTTTATGTAGGAACTTGTTGCCCGCTTTCTACACGATATTTCGCAATCAAGGTAGAATAATAAAAGAAGAGGTAAAACCTCACCCGATATTGTCACGTTTGTATCGCGCTTCGGAGGCGGAAACGCTGACATTTCCTGCATCCGAAGTTCCAATGAAATGCCCTCCTGTGCCATGGATATCGGTCAAAACGGGCGGTTACATGATAGCATCTTGTGAGATGGTCCGTTTACCTACTCAGGCGGTCACCCAAAAACAGAGACTCGAAGAAACTGATCCTCAGAATTTATATCCGGTTTTGGACTCTTTAAACCAGCTCGCCGCTGTCCCGTGGAAGGTTAACGAAAGAATTCTGGATCTTATCTTAGAGGTCTGTTATTTTTTTTTTTTGAAAAATGTAAGGTATTGTAGGTACTTCTGTCTTTTGTAGGTATTTAATAGTGGAGGATCGACTAAATTGGACGTGCCTCAGCCCCCAACTGCTCTGACATTAACATATAATGATTCCAAGGACCAAAAGTACCAGAATTTAAGACAAAAACTTCAGTTTAGAAGAAAACAAGCCGAAATGTACTCCCTTTGGTGTGACTGCCTATACCGGTTATCTTTGGCTAATCATGTAATTTAATTTACTCATAACTTTTATTTCAATTTAAATGACATCATTTAATTTCTAGTATCGAAAAGACATCTTCTGGTTGCCGCACAATATGGACTTTAGGGGAAGAGTGTATCCAATTCCGCCTCATCTCAATCATTTGGGATCAGATTTGGCTCGATCGATGTTGATATTTGCAGAGGCAAGGCCTCTAGGGCCTCACGGTCTCGATTGGTTAAAATTACACCTTGTAAATTTAACTGGTCTCAAAAAGAAATCCTGCTTAGAAGACCGGTAAGTTAAACGACTTATATTAGTTATACAGACACAAATAAAGCGTATTTTTTTTTCAGCTTAATATTTGCTAATGAAATGATGGACAAGATTCTCGACTCTGCTGACAAACCTCTGACGGGCGAAATGTGGTGGGCGGAGTCTGAGGAGCCGTGGCAAACGCTGGCTTGTTGCATGGAATTGGCGGCTGCCCACAGGTCTCCAAATCCCGAAGAATACCTAAGTCACTTTCCCATTCATCAGGATGGGAGTTGTAACGGATTACAGCATTATGCTGCACTTGGTAGAGACAGTGCTGGGGCAAAGAGCGTTAATTTGACCGCTTCTGATATACCACAAGACGTCTACAGTGCTGTTGTGGCACTGGTTGAAGAACAAAGGGTTAAAGACGTAGAACTTGGAATACCAGTAAGTCTTTATTAAATTCAATTGAATCGTTCGTTTTAGTTATTATCTAATTTTATTCCTTTAGATTGCCAAGGTTCTTGAAGGATTTGTTCATCGCAAAGTTATCAAACAAACTGTAATGACAACTGTTTATGGTGTTACCAGATTTGGGGCAAGATTACAGATAGCTAGACAGCTTAAAGATCTGGAGGATTTTCCAAAAGAACACGTTTGGCATGCTTCGCAATATCTTACGAGTAGGTGGATTTTTGGGGAAAAATAATCATAAATGAAAGATATTTTTAGACGTACGTATTGTTTTTATGTAATTTAAATAAATTCATCTTATTTCAGCCAGAACGTTTGATTCACTTCGTTGTATGTTTACATCGACTAGAGAAATTCAGGATTGGTTTACAGAATGTGCGAAACTAATTGCATCAGTTAGTGGAAAAAATGTGGAATGGATTACCCCCTTAGGATTGCCTGTGGTACAGCCATACAACAAATATAGAAAATTACCTGCAATATCTTCAGTTTATGACAATTACCATATGGATAAATATGAGTGAGTTAACATGAAAATTTTATTTTTACTTCAGTCATCATCTATTTCTCAACTACCCTCAGGGTCTGAAACTTCTAGGTGTTATGCTTGTACTAAACTAAAGATAAGTTATAACGTAAAGATCTGGTGTTTATGAAATTCTGAAGACCTCATGATATGAAGCGAACTGTTCTTTTATTTTCTAGGAAACCTAATGTAATGAAACAGAAGAACGCGTTCCCTCCGAATTTTATTCATTCGCTGGACTCCAGTCATATGATGTTGACGTCTTTGTTTTGCGAACGTGCCGGCATCACGTTCGTGTCGGTCCACGACTGTTACTGGACACATCCGTCCACTGTCAGTATAATGAACAAGGTAAACTTTTTTATTTATTAATATACTATTCATCTATTAGTATTAATTATTTTTTTACATCCGTGTTAATTCGAGTACAAAATATAAAGTGTTACTACTGTTATTAATTTATTAGGATTACTTTTTAGATTTGTAGAGAACAGTTCGTCGCTTTACATTCTGAGCCAATTTTAGAAAATTTGTCGCTATTCTTGTTCGATAAATACAGTTACACAAAAATGTAAGTACTGCAATTGTAAATATCTTATTATAAGGAAATTTTTAATTTTCATTTTTTGTATCTAGAGACGAAAAAGATGCGGGTACTGCTCTAACTAGAAAGAAATTTAATAAAGTGCTAAGAACATTGCCAAAAACGTCAAACTTCGATATAAGAGAAGTTTTAAATTCTGTGTACTTCTTTAGCTAGTAAAAATAATATAGAGAAGTGTTTTTAACTGTGATTTTTTGTAATAGTATAATTTAAGAAATAAAACGGAAATATATACATTCTTGATTTGTAGAGAACATTAAAAGTTCTTGGTCAGTAATTTATCGAAACTGCTTGGCGTGGATTGTGATTTTGAACTTAGTCCTTCTCGTTCGTACGTCATAAGCAGTTTCAATAAATTTATGTTCCTAATCACGTGTATAAACTGCGTCGTAGATTTAGTGTGATAGGTGGATTCCTTTGTAAGCCTCTTCAAAATTTTTTTGAATACTACAGTTGCAGCAAACTTTAGTAGATGGCAATATAGTGTTATACCTTGATATTTTTGGTAATATTTTGGTCCCCTATTATTAAATATTCAAATCGCACTTCAATAAAAAAATTATCGTTAAAGCAAACAACTTGTTAAATGCCCTTTACATAAATTATAAATCTTACATAAAATAAGGTAATTGTGGACATTATCCAGAAAATAATAATTCGTTTTTATAAATTCAATAGTATTATAAATGGTGAGTAATAAATTCCATTACCTATTATGTAATTCCAATTAGGGGACCCCAATTTCATGCTTTTATTTAAATTTGGGTAATATATAGCAATATACCGCCATCTACTGATAATGTTGTCAATTAGGGTAATTTATAGACTGCTATTTTATCATGGAAATTGGAAATGACATTACCAACAATTACGAAGTTGCAATGTTTACTTCTAGGGGGCAGCATAATATAAACAAAATTAATTGTTTATTGTTATATTGTGTTAACCAATAAGAGAATAGGATTATCGTTTGTTATTAAGTTAACCTCGCATTAATTTAGTAAACTATTTTAAAATGTAATTTATTAACGTTTTAAAGTGTTTTTATTCCCTATTATCAAATTTTTTATCGAACAAAGGTTAGTTTTTGTATATAATTTTATTTTAGTTTTACAAATATGCAATAAATTTGTAGAATTTGAGACAGGTTAAAAGAATTTGGAAGTTATGACTGAAAAATTGCTTTGGTGGATGAAAACAAAGCCTGTTACTGAAGCTGCTGTCGAAAAAGGGCAAGATGGTGGAGCTCCACTAACTCCACAACAAGTTTCTGAAATTTCAAATACATTAGTAGAGTTTCTTGAAAAAGAACAGAAGTTTGTTAATGAAGATGATTCTGAAACAGATATAGGTAGCATTATAGAAGAGATAAATAGAATAGCCGCCCAAAGTCCCTTAGGACCTTTTGAGAAAGAAATAGGTGACCGTAGTATAGAAGACATTATAAAGGAAGCAGAAAAAATATATTTAGACAGTTCAAAGAGCTTTGAACAGTTAAATTCTCGTTCAAATAATTTGAAGCTCACTGCTCTGTCTGTAACCCCTACAGCCACTCCTAAAGGTATTAGCCCTTTACCTTTGGATGATTCACAAAATAAGGAAGAAATTGTAGACAGCCAAGATGATACATACAGTGAGGATTTTTCTCATGAAAATACTGAAACTGTTTCTAGTCCATCTGTTGAAAATTGTAACATAAAATTGAGCAGTTCTGAAAGTAGCAATTCCAGCCAAGAAGTTAAGGAAGCAAGGCCCAATGAGAAAACTGAAGGAACAGCTAAGGCAGAAGAACAAAAATTAGAAAATACTTCAGAAATGAATTTGAATGAAATGGCAAATCCTAATAAAATGGATAGTGATAACAACACAAGTGGAAAATTATTAACCAAGGATATTGATGCTGAAAATATACAGAAGAAAGAAGAAAATGAGTATTTCAATCTAGGACCTCAACACTTTTTGTCTGAAATTAGAAGAATCGAGAATGAGATAAATAAAAAAGAAGAAATTATAGACTTTCTGCATAGTGAAAATAAGAAACTAAAGGAAGAAATTGAATCTGTTAGAGTAAGTTTAACATACTACTAAAGAACCATAATTAACTTGTAGGTATTTGTATTCTTAATCACTCTTTGTATTTATCAGGTTTGTTTGAGGGAAACAACTTTAGCTCTTGAAAAGACAAAATCATTGCTTAACAGTCAAAATACTTCTAATTCATCTGAAGCTAATATTGAGAAGATTTTAGAAGAATTGAAGGATGCCAAAGAAATTAACACTGCCCTACAACTACAACTAGAAAATGCAACTAAAACCCATAACAGTTTAAAATTAAATTACGATGATGTAATCTCAGCGAATAAACTTCTTGAAAAACGAGCCTCTGAAGCCGAAGAACTTCTTTTCAAATACAAGACTGAGCTGCTAAACTTACAAAAACATCGCGACCGTTTGATCGAGAGCGAAACGAATTTAAATCAGTTACTTGAAGTAGAAAGAATCCAAAATAAAACGTTAAAAACTCAAAACGAAAAAGATGCCAAATGTATTCAAGACCTTAACAGGCAAATTAAAGAAATGGAGAGAATCATAGCTAGAAAACATCCTGATAGTGTGTCAGCATTGATAGTGGCCGCCAAAAACGATCATACAGAGTCAAATTTAACAGCAAGAAAAGTACTAGAAGATCGCATCATTTCTCTAGAGAGCGAAGTCTCCAAAAGAGATTATCAATCGTCGATGCTGTTTCTCGAGATTCAAGAAAAGTTCAACCAAATGAAAGCTAAATATGAAAGCCACATCGAAGACTTGGAACTTCACGTTTCTGATCTCAAAAATCAACTCAAACGAAAGGCTGACTGTTTTGATATGTACACACAAACTTTTTTAGACGAACAAAAAATCCCTGAAAAAGAAACAAAAAACATAGGAGTCCAGACAGATTATAATAAGACTGCTTCGATGCAGATAGTCCAGAAAACGGGGACTACCAAACGCACTAACGATAGGCATAATGAACCCAAAGAAGAAACACATCTTCTGGCCACCATTCGTGGATTACAAACGGATGTCCTAAATAAAGAGAGGGCAATAATTAAATTAAACAAAGAAATTGAGGAGCTTAAGAAAACAAACAGAAGGTTGCAAAAAGAGAGGGAAGGCAGTTTGAAAAACTTGGCAGAGAGGCGTGAATTTAGAAGTTATCCAGAGAAATTGGCCGTCCAAGTTAGATCTAATTCGTCAACAACCGATTTGTTAGAGGAAGAGCTTAGAAACGTCAAAAATGAAAGGGACAAGATGAGACAGCAGTTATACAAGATAGAAGAAGACTACCAGAGCTTAAAGGAGAAAAGGCTTCAAGATGTAAACTTAACTATTCATAAAAGAAGAGTTAATATTGTAATTTTTATTTTTCATTTTGTAGCTGACAACTTTGCAAGAGGCCCATGAACGCGAAATATCAACCTACCTAGCCAATATTTCTCCACTACAAGAGCAACTTGAGGTTCAACAAGTAACAATTAATTCGTTACAAAATCAGTTGAAATCTACTAAGGAGGAACTTGCTGTTATGTCGGTCGAAAGGGATCACCTTTACCTTCGTTTAAGCAGTAATAGTACTGATCCCTTTACAGTTGGTTATCATCATGGTGATGGTGATAAAGCAGAACTGACGCTACCAAATAAGGTAATAATCAGAATAAACTTTTACTTTTGATGTTAACGTATTCTGTACACATGTGGAACTATGGGGTAAGAAGAAGTTAGGGAGAGGTAAGTGCCTGCAGATCGTGTTTGACGAGAAAGAGAAAAAAGACTCAGCTGTCAACAGTTTGGCGATCGATCTGGTAACCTTGGTCAGGAACAGTCTTGCTAATCAGTTTATTATTTTGTTCATTATTGATGCTAGATGTTACACATAATTAGCGATTACTGTGAGACACGTATCTTTTACTTTCTATTTTATTGTGTATAAATTTAATTGTTGTAATAATAATTTTAGATTTCTTTCTTGGAAAAAACTCACATTGAAAGAGAGCAGAGATTGCGAGCCATAATACTAGGATTGGCACAGAAAAATGTAATGAACATAAACTGCGAGCAGTGTGCAGCCCGACAGAAGCAGTTAATTATGTATAAAAACGAATTAGATCAGTTGATGATTACGTTGAGAGCTTTAAATTAATACTATTACATTATTTTACTATTATTACAGGTAATCAAATATATAGCCAGTCATCATTCCGCCAAATAAATTCGTCCTAAATAGAAATTGTGATATTTTAAATTAATTTTTTCAAATTTTTTAGATCTAGATTTATCGGTTGTATTTTGATATAACAATAAGTAGTTTTATTTATTGACTTATAAATACTAATAAGATGCTTTTACCGAAATGGATTGTTTTTTTTTATTGGGGGCCCTCGAAGAAGTAATTTATTCCAAATATTTTTAATGTTATACTTTATTAAAGTAACGTAATATCAGTCATTGAAGTAAAGAAACTAATAATAAGAAAATAAAATTAATTAAGCAGCACTTGCAGCAGATGCGATGACTTCGACAGCCATTAGGGCTTCCTTGGCGGTAGGAATGATGTAAGATGACGGCAGAATGAATCCGAAACGTCCTGTATCACGCAATTCAATAGTGTACGTGTATTTTATGTTTTTCACCCCTTTCGCCCAATCGTCTGAGCCTCCACTTGCTGGATAGAGAGTCGATGCAGCTGGACCAAACCTGTAGTGTGACCCCGTTGCAGAGTTCATCACCTATAATAACATATAACAATAGAACTAATAACGATGAATAAACTATGCAAGAAAATGAAGATNGTAAGATTTACTTTCCACAACTGGCTTCCAGCATAAGAAACTTTTTTGGTAGCTGGCGTCAAAACCTCGTATTCTTTTTCTTCGGGCCTTTTTGAATAATCTGCCTTTTTATCGTCACAATCATCTTCGGGATTTCTAACTTCTTCCACTCTTGCTTTGTATTCGCGATCTGGATCGGTTTCTTTAAGTTGATTAATGAAGGTATTTTTGTTCGCGACTGTGTCCGATATTGAAGCAGGTTTATTTGGATAACAATCGACTTGAAATAAAAGTAATACAAATGAAACAAAGGCGAAATGTGTAGCTCGTAGTGACCGCATGACGATGATGTAGAATATCTAAAGAGGTGTTGGGTCTTGATGTCGTTTTTATATGCCGATGGCGTCGGTAGATACCGTGTCACTAACAGGATGATCCCGTTTCCATTAAACCCAATAGTTTTCGTTACAGACTTGACTGAACTTCAAGCATGGTGTATAATAAATAAATAAATAATTACTCCGGCTACTGCTTTCATTTGAATAAATAATTGAGTGAATCACGTCGTAGTGAATTTACAATAACAACAACACCAAAACGATTCCTATTTGTTTATTTTCTTTTTATCTTTCATAGCAATTCTAGTACAACTGCACATTCATTTTAATTGTAAACTTATTACAAATTCGTTTTTGAAGCAAAAGTAGAATGTTTCGCCTTTAATATAAAGCAAATTTTTTTCTCAAACTGTTTTACAACGATATGCAAATATAATTAAAAAAATTAGCATGTATTGGAACCGAACTGTCTTTCGTCAAGTGCCTTGGTCAGAGGACAACGAACGAATTATCGCAATAATTTTACGAACTATTTTTACATGATGGATTTGAAGTTGATTTGAAATTTTTTGCATTTTTAATTTCTACATGTGTAAAACAAAGCTAAGACTAGCTCAATCGACAATTTGTTCTGGGATGTTAATAATATAATGCGAGTCAATTTTGCTTGCTTCACACAACATTTATTTAATATTCAATCATAACTTACAATAATTATTCATTACACCAATATAATATCTCATTTGTTAGCCAAGAATTCATCAAATATTGTGTTGTACCATTTCAACCAGTTTTTGCTTTTACGAGGTTTTGAAAAATGGTGAAACCGGTGAATCTAGAACAAAATTAGTATCTATATTAAACCATTAAAATACAATACAAATATAGGTTTAAATAAACTGTAGAAATGACTAAGAGTTTTGAAATAAATTTAATAAGTCTACACCCTACGGTATCTGACCAATTCCCGACATTACGTTGTAATAAAACAATTACTAACTCAGTACGACTCTGTACTTTTTCAATGGAATAATGAAAAAGAATGGTCCAGTCTTTACACTATAAAGAATAAAAATTAGATCAACAAAAAGTTGAAAATCCAGACGAAGTCGATGACGGTCATTTTCAAAAAGCTTCGGCGTTTTATGGAATGTCTAATTTTGCATTTTGTTGTATGCATATGATGGCATTAAGATAACATGTATACGAAATTGCAAGTAATGTTTATTTATTGATAAGTTGTACGCATTGTTTTTAAATAATTCACTAGGTAACGAAATAATTCTGTGAAAAATATTGACTTAAATAATCCTTTACGCTCTTAATAGAAAAACAAGCGAGGAATTTGTAGATATTCTATCATCAAAATAGATATCTATACGTATGTCTATACAGTCGAAAGAAAATAACAAAGTAAAGTGGTTTAATGCAAGGTAGTGAAATCAAACATGTTGATGAACTGTTTCAAAACAATACCTGAAACAGACAGAGCCAATCCTTAACTTCTCTGAATTCAAGTATTTAAAAGCAAATAAAACCAACCCAAAAAACTATTGCTTTCCTTTTTTCTAGATTGTTGGTAGCTGTTAAAGATTACTTGGATGCTCCGAATATCTCTTTATTTTCTTGGTTAATTAAAGTTTCATGTACTTAAATATGTCCCAATCCCAGTAGATTTTCAAAATTCCCTATCCATAACTGACATCATAAAACAATTAGAAATTGAACAATTGCAGGCCTTTAAATAATAGTAGTTTTTTTATTTAGTGTTTAGTTTTGTGTACATATTTATTGACATGGTTAAGAATAAACGATTTTCAAAGAGACGGTATACATAGATCTCCATTCTATAAATTAGCATTAATCCAATCGAAATGGGAAGAAACTTTGGTGAAAACGCATGGGGCAATGGTGATTCCACATGGTGCTACACCCCACGAGGATACCGTCTTTGACCACCAGAGTCACCACTGCAAACCGTCAACCTTTGCCTTCCATTGGTACAAATCATCGTGTCGTTCAAACGATCTTTAGTTCACACAACAGCGAAAGATAAATACTTTTGTTGAAGGTGCAATGTTTACAATTAGAAATTTTACATACACTCATTGTGCAGAATTTTTAGGTCGACGCATTGCATAGTGCTTGGGAGAGTGGAAACTGAACTTGACTTTTTCCCCATCCCAAATGACGACGTCTCCACACGTTTCGGCACCTTGACTAGGAAGTTGAATGGGTTGGAAGAAGAGGTCAAGATAAAAAGTCTGACTACTGTTATTAGGGAAACGTCCCATGGGGCTGCATTTTTATTGTTGAAGAGCGAAGAAAATGAAATTATAAAAGGTGTATTAATCAATGAAGATGGTAGTCAATTAATTAATTAATTAATTACCCAGGTCAGTTCTTGTGAACTGCCAGCACGTCGACTTTGAGTAGATGAGGTATTTTTGACTCGATTCGGAATTCCTGCGTCGACATTGTAGGTACCGTAGTCTTCTATTCCATGGGCAGTTGTGAGGACCACCCATGTACTAATGAGACTACCACCACACATGTGGGAAACGCCACCGTAAAGAAACCTGGTAGGGGAATTGGTCTCTGACAGCATTTAGACCGCGTATTATTTTGGTATCGTCGAATGGCAAAATTTCTATATGTTTTATGCAAGTCGGATGATCACTACATTTATCTTTCGTATATTTGGGGCCCTTTTTCAGATATTAAAACATATTAATACAGAACGAACAAATAAATGAATAGATAATTCAATCTCAAATTAATGATGAAAAACGGTTGGTACTGTCCCTCCCTTACCGGGAATTGAACCTGGGCCCCTGTATAGTGGATAAAATTAATACATTAATACAATTCTAATAAAACATACCAAGGGCTAAAGAGCACACAAGGCTTAATAGAACAACGGGGAACTTCATTCTAAAACTGCCCACTTCACTAAACCAAACCAACATACAACCCGAAGATTTCGGATCTTATTTATATGAATAACGTATCTAAGTTTACGCAATGGCATGCCCACTTATATAGATATATTTGATTAGCATCTAATGCAAATATAACACAAATATATTTGCGCGTGTACCTCCCTCGCCCTCCTTGGACAACTAATGTACATATTATATTTGTATTGGATGCTAATCAAGTACAAGCAGTCTTGTAACATTTTGAATTATTGGAGAGAAATAAGATCACTGATATTTTGTATAAATACTTTCAAAGATGCAAGCAGAGCGATGTGATGTTATCGGTTTTTCTCTTGAATATTTCTTTTACAATTGCGTTCAGAACTGTTGGGCAAGGGGGGGGGGCTATGTACTATAGTTTTCCAATTAAGGGGTCTGAAGATGAAGGTTAAGGATTTACCTGTAAGGACATTGGAAAAATCTTCTTGACTTTAGCACAATCACTACTTGAATTGTATTGGACTAACTAATACTCGTTTCAATACACAATTACTTCATCAATTGATTGCACAATGAATTCACACTGAGCATTTTGGCGAAAGCGTTCCAAATGTGGTGTTACAGGCGAATGATGAGGATGAGGATACCGGATATAGTTAGAAATGAAGAGGTATTAAAAAGAATAGGAGAACGGAGGACTCTATGGAAGTCAATAAGAAATAGACGAGATAGGTTAGTAGGACAATTTTTAGTCAGAGACATATTAGAGGCACCAGAGAGTTAGAAGGAGTAGAGGTAGACCTAGATTTGATTACTGTTCGCAAATAGTTAAGGATGTGGGATGTTCTAGTTTTAGGAAAAATGCGAAGATTAGCTCAGGATAGGAAAGAGTGGAGGTGCGTATCCAACCAGTCTTAGGACTGACGACCTTATGATGATGATCACATGAGCATCATGATTTCGAATTGACCGTTATCATCAGCACGCCGTAACACGATATCGACCAATCTAAAAGCTATTGGGGGTTGATATAGTAGAAGTGGAGCCGGAATTAAAAAATGAAATTGAATATGAGAGAAAATTTTTGTATTGGTAATATTCAACACTTCGGATTTAATTTCTGTGATCAACTTGCAACTACTTCAAATAATAGATGGTCAAAATTGTTTACTTATGGTGATTTTATTTAATGCTTCGATTTGCTAGCACATTTAATTACATTCTCAGAAGTAAATGCCTTTCAAAGGTGTGGATCATATTGATTTTACAATCTCTCGTTGATCCAGTCGGAATAGGAAGAAACCTTTGTGAAGACCGATGGAGCAATAGTGTTACCACATGGTGTGATACCCCAGGAGACAACACCCACTTGGACGCCGTCTTGGACCAATGGGCCACCAGAATCACCACTGCATGTTCCTTCATATCGTCGTCCACTGGTACAAATCATCGAACTGTCCAAAGGATCGGAATATCCCAATACACTGATTAAATCAATAGCGCATTCTACGGAGAAAGATAATAATAATAAGCGAAAGGGTATCATTTAAAATTAGGTATTTCACGTACGGTTGTTTGGAAGAATTTCTAAGTTGACGTATTGTAGAGTCCTTGGGAGAGTGGAAACTGAACTTGAAGTCCTTCCCCATCCAGAAATAACGACGGATCCAGATACATTATCACCTTGGTTGGGAAGTCCAACAGGTTGGACGGAAGAAGTCAAGGTGAAGGGTGTGGTAACTCTCATTAGGGCAATGTCCCACGGTCCTGGATCGCTACCGCTGCAGATCAAAGGAAGTGATTTTGTAAATAGCAAAAGCCGATAAAGATCCTATTGAAGTAATTACCCAGGCCAATTTTCATGAGAGATAATACTTCTGACACTTCGGCTTTGAGTAGATGAGGTGCTTTCGACTCGATTCAAAAGTCCAGCAACGACAGTGTAGGTACCGTAGTCTTCGATACAATGGGCAGCCGTGAGTACCATCGATGGACTAATGATACTAGCACCGCACATGTGGGAGGGCGTCGAAAGGAAGCCCCATCGTAGGGAAACCTGGTAGGGGAATTGGTCTCTGACGGCATTTTGACCGCGTATTATCCTGGTATCGTCGGACGGCAAAATTTCTATATCTTTTACGTAAGCCGGACGGGGTGAATTTACCTTTTGTACCTTTGGTGCCCCTATTCAGAAATTAGAATAAATAAATAAATAAATAAATGATTGCAATAAAACTTACCATGGGCTAAGGCGCACACAAGGCCTAAAAGAACAACGAGGAACTTCATTCTTGAATTGCCAGTTTACTCAATTAAACCACTGTACAGCCTGATGCTTTCGGCTGTTATTTATAGGAAGGAAACTTATCTTCAAGTGCTGGACAAAGCACACTTATCTGCAGGTGCAAGGTACACATTAGCATTTTATTAATTGCATAGATTGCAAAGCGTCTTAATTTTTTCTTCTAGCTAATCACAAATGTCGTTTCAGCAAAGTGTTGTTCGTATCNAGTTTTATTAATTGATTATAATATTTATTATAAAAAGGAAGGCGTTTGTCTGAAAATTTACGACGATTTGCGTATTTTTTTCTTGTCAATACTTATTAAAGGGTTCGATTATAAGTTTGCAACTTTTTTGATACCTTTTCTCTCTGAAAGCTCCTGTATTTCCGCTGGGGGTGGCGGATTCTCAGCCTCGATGGCCTCCTGAAGATTTTCAATTATAATATCGTAGGGGATGTTTCTGTTTTTAAATATGTTTGTAACTCGTTCAACAGACGCTGGTTTGACCAAAGTGTCGATAATTGTAACGTTTCCTCCCCAAACGGACACATCTATAAAGGGAACGTTCGTTCATTAAAAAAGGGTGCGAAACGATCGGCAGCACGGCCCACGCGTTCGTGACGTTCAAAATCTACATTGAAAAAGTCGGTTTTACAATATAAAAGCCTGTCGAGTTTTGTTTCTACATTTCAGTTGAAAATAATATTCAGTTTCAGCTACACGAAAGTAAAATGTGTAAAGATCTAAATTAGTTGAATAAGATTACAAAAATATGTTTACGAAATGTTTAATCAATTTGATCAAAAATAAAGAGTTTGTGTGTGCGATCCCACAGTATAGTTTTAAACCGTTTAAGTTTTTTTAACGAAGATTACAAAAATATTAGTTGTAGTTTTATTAGAAAGTCCGAATATGGCACAATTGAACTGGGAGATTCGAGTAAAACATATTGTCTTCTAATTTGTTAATAAACAATAACAAAAACTAGTGAGTAAGCCAGTGCTATTTATTCTTTAAATTCGTCAGCTTAATTTTAATTTGTTTTTTTATCGCTGCTGCACGACTTTTTCACACCGTTTTGTTATTTACGACACAATTTCGTTGAAACATCAACACGATTTCATATTTACTGCAGTAATTATTATATTTATCCTGCCCTAGCGCCATATACACTGCTGCGACATCTATTGTCGAGTTTTCTGTAGTAGTAAGGCGCTCGGGGTACTGCCGAAATAGCCGATGTGGGCTTCTACCGATTTTATTAATGAATTATTTTAATTGAAACCATGTTTAATACCAAAAAAAAAGAAAAAGATTATCAATATAATGCTACCAAATTATACGGATTAACGGCGTGATTTTTTTTAAAAAAGGGATACATACTTTTGAATACTTACTATAATGTTACATTTAACCCTAAATAAAATAATGAATTGCTTACCTCCTCGGTCTCTAAGCCTCAAAATGATCGCCTTATTTCTACTGTCTGTAAGATTTACTTTCCACAACTGGCTTCCAGCATAAGAAACTTTTTTGGTAGCTGGCGTCAAAACCTCGTATTCTTTTTCTTCGGGCCTTTTTGAATAATCTGCCTTTTTATCGTCACAATCATCTTCGGGATTTCTAACTTCTTCCACTCTTGCTTTGTATTCGCGATCTGGATCGGTTTCTTTAAGTTGATTAATGAAGGTATTTTTGTTCGCGACTGTGTCCGATATTGAAGCAGGTTTATTTGGATAACAATCGACTTGAAATAAAAGTAATACAAATGAAACAAAGGCGAAATGTGTAGCTCGTAGTGACCGCATGACGATGATGTAGAATATCTAAAGAGGTGTTGGGTCTTGATGTCGTTTTTATATGCCGATGGCGTCGGTAGATACCGTGTCACTAACAGGATGATCCCGTTTCCATTAAACCCAATAGTTTTCGTTACAGACTTGACTGAACTTCAAGCATGGTGTATAATAAATAAATAAATAATTACTCCGGCTACTGCTTTCATTTGAATAAATAATTGAGTGAATCACGTCGTAGTGAATTTACAATAACAACAACACCAAAACGATTCCTATTTGTTTATTTTCTTTTTATCTTTCATAGCAATTCTAGTACAACTGCACATTCATTTTAATTGTAAACTTATTACAAGGAATAGAAAACAGTTTAGTTCAATCAGCGACTTCTTTCGACTATACTCATTTAACGAATGATATTTTGCTTTATTAATTATATCTATAAAAAGCGGAATACTTACCCAAAGTTTCGGTTCAAATCCACCCCCGCGCAGTTGCCTCTTCCACCCCTATTTTTCCTCCACAATCTGTCTATGCTATGTGAATATTCGTAACCGTCAGGATTAGCCACCGGTAAGAAGTACCAGTCCAAGTTGGAAAGCTTTGGTGACAATTCATCGAAATGTTCAACAAGATTTTCAATGATATAAGTTACAGTCGCAGGAGAGATCCATTCTCGAGCATGTATGCCCCCGTCTATCCAAATGGCCTTATTATTTTGATTTCCATTCGATATTTTCAACACTTTTAGCGGTCGGTTTTCAGTAGAAGTACCAATTGTTTTAACGCTGCATAGTTTGGGGTACGTCTTAGCTAAATAATCGACATAGCCGTAAATATCATTTAATCGATGGTACGACCTCCATGTTAGCCTGTGACCTACGTACAACAGGAAGAGACAGGTGTAATTATAATTTCGTTTTTTTTATTTTTCTTCATTCCAAGGTTTATTAAAGTGTATCATACAGTTAACATTTCATGTGTAGTTTATAAATAAACGGTGAAATTTTATGTATGTACAATTGATATTTAAGTCATTGAAGTAAAGAAACTTTTAATAAGAAAATAAAATTAATTAAGCAGCACTTGCAGCAGATGCGATGACTTCGACAGCCATTAGGGCTTCCTTGGCGGTAGGAATGATGTAAGATGACGGCAGAATGAATCCGAAACGTCCTGTATCACGCAATTCAATAGTGTACGTGTATTTTATGTTTTTCACCCCTTTCGCCCAATCGTCTGAGCCTCCACTTGCTGGATAGAGAGTCGATGCAGCTGGACCAAACCTGTAGTGTGACCCCGTTGCAGAGTTCATCACCTATAATAACATATAACAATAGAACTAATAACGATGAATAAACTATGCAAGAAAATGAAGATTTTTGAAGGCTTTTTGTGATGTACTTACAGCTGCTGCTCTACTTGCAACTGCTTGTAAGTCAGCATGATCTGGGGGAACAAAATTGTCGTAGCCCCAGGGGTACAGAATGTACTGTCCGTAAGAGTGGAATGAGATGTAAGCCTTCCAATTGGCACGAGTTGAATCGATGAAATTCTTGATAGCTGCAGTCTCCGGTTCTGAGAAGGGCCCCTGGCCACCATAAATCTCTGTGCAAGGGTTTTTACTCACACCTTTACCTCCCCATTTATATCTGTTTACAATGTTAATTTTAAAACAAATTTTAAGTTTGCATTTTTAATACTTATCACATTTTCATATTTTTATTTCTTAAATTACTTTATTTTACTGCTCTGTAATATTTTACATGAATTTATGCTTTTTTCATGTTTAAATTAAGTATCAACATGATAATTTATATTTTTAATAAAATTTAGTGTATTATTTCACTGCTCTATTTAGTTTCACAAATTTTTGGGCTTTTCTGAATGTTTTTATTAATTAAACTATTTGTATTGCGCGAAATCGTAAAAACTTTTGAATTAAACGTTTGCCTCTTCGTTCAACTGCTTGTCTACTCTGATTCTCTCTCTCTTGCTGGCCTTCCGTTTGCGTAATCAATGAAAAGTAGGTCAAGTTTAGTTGTACTTAAAAACTAGGTTACTACGCGAATAAGGACATTCTGACATGTAGGTNCCGGTGAATCTAGAACAAAATTAGTATCTATATTAAACCATTAAAATACAATACAAATATAGGTTTAAATAAACTGTAGAAATGACTAAGAGTTTTGAAATAAATTTGAAGCGATTGGAAACATAGTATAGGGGGGAAGAACTATCTCCATACTTCCGGGAGGAAGTGCTTCACATTCTTTTCAATCCCTGTATACAAATTTTTACCATACTTTTGTCCCGAAAGTACGATTTTTCCTGATTTCAGGTACCAGAAAAATTGCAACATAACTTCGTAGGTAATGTACTATTAATTAAGAAAGTATTTTAACGTCTTCCGCTGGGAAATTGCTACCGAAGCTGAAGACGATGTCGGTAATCCCCCGGAAAATCTCAAAATCCTTTCCTAATAAGGAGTTAATGTGATTTCTTACCTAGGGGAAAAGGTTGCACCTTTGTCCTTGAAATCGGGAAGTAAATGATAAAAAAAGGCATAAAAATTTGCTTACCCGGTGCCCTTTTTGCAATTGTTTATTAATATGGTATGCATTACAAGAAGCCCACCCACTGCAGACGTTAAAAGATTGGCCCAGTTGCTGGAATGTTTCAATATGTTATTATTTTCATCCACGAATTGTCCATGGTGGTTTACTGCGTTGTATTTTTCATTTCTGAAATCTAAATTGTTTACGAATCTTGCCATGTCACGACTGATGATTCTTCGGTCGTTTGTATTTCTAAAATTATCATTTGCCCTGAAGGACGACGGTATTACAGAAATCCTGCTGGTTTCCCTGTTTCTGCTGTGTATTTTCCCTTTGTCTTCCACTCGAACCCTTCTAATAGAATTAGTCGAATCATTCATTCTTTGGTCTTTAGTTACAACTCTAATATTCCTTTCATTCAAAGTGCGCCTTATGCTTCTGTCAGAACGAACGGTATTGGTTCTTTCGTTTGGAATTGTTCTGATAGTTTGCTGGACCTTGGCTGGTAATGGCTGCTCTCTGGTAATTATTATTCTGGACTCTTGACGAATAGTTTTTGGTTCATTTCTGTACAGGGAACGCTTTTGGAATGTCCTATTGTCCAGGGAGTTTCTCTGGACCAATTGTCGTGTTGTTATGACTCTTCTGGAATCACGAACGGTGTTGCGTAAAATTATTCGGGAATTAGCAACCCTCTGGACTCTCTCATCTTCAGTAGTTCTTTTTGTTGCTGGTGAAACATCTCGGCGTATTGTATTTCTGGATATTTGTCGGTCCCTCAAAGTCCTAGTGGACCTGAAATTTGCCATTAAATTATTTTTATTGTCGTTAAATGACGTCAAAGATCTTGAAATGGTTCGAAAGCGAGAAAGTTGATCTCGCTCAGTTCTTCGACGGGAATCCATTAAAACCTCTTGGGATTCCCTGTTCTTGAAGCTTTGGACAGACCTTGAAATGGTTCGAAAGCGAGAAAGTTGATCTCGCTCAGTTTTTCGACGGGAATCCATTAAAACCTCTTGCGATTCCCTGTTCCTGAAGTTTTGGAGAGTTCTTGAAATGGTTCGAAAGTGAGAAAGTTGATCTCGCTCAGTTCTTCGACGGGAATCCATTAAAACCTCTTGGGATTCCCTGTTTCTGAAGTTTTGGACATTAGAGCGTTCCCTGAAGTTCTGCTTGACGTCCCTTTCCCTGTTGTTAGGATTAGATCGTCCGATTAATTCAAAATTTCTTTTTGGGTCCAATGATACTCGGGAAAATCTTTCAGCCTGTCTTCTTTCTGAGCTGAATCTCCTTGCTGATGGATTGAGGTCATTGTTTTGTGGAATCCTTACCATGTCGTTTCGTTCAGTCCTCTGCGGATTTTTCGTCGTTTTCCATAATAATTCTGTGGATGGGTTGCATCCAGTTGGCGTCCCGATGGAACAAGTTTCGTCCCGAAGACCTGTGATGGTCGAGAAACAAAAGATAAATATTATAGTGATTTTGAAAACTGTAAATGTTAGATTTGTCGGACTCATGGTTAGATAATGAGGAAGAAATTAATACTGTTCAATGATAGTGGCTTGTATGGTAGACTTGGTATATAAAACTGTCTCTTTGCAATGCTGACTGGTTAGCTTCTGGTGTTCCGGAGGGATTTGTCGGACATTTATAGGGAAATGTTCAGGCTATTTTCTGCTTCGATTCGTTTGAGGGTTCAAAATCAATTTGCGAACGAAATGGGATCGCAACCTGTTTATTGTAAGATAAGGGATGTCTTTTCGCCACCTACTTTAAGATTTATATTGTTCAGTCAAATTAAATCGCAACACGTGGCTTCTTTAAATGTCATTTATTATTGTACTGAGTATTAATATCCTCATTTTTCTGACATGTGCACGTGTCTTTTGTTTTAACTGAAACGTGCTAATACGGAGATAATGAAATTTATAAATTTAGAGACGCTTTTCCGGAGCAATTGGAGACATCTGCGACAAGGCTTTAATCAAATTTTCTGGGGTAACAAATTTTCAATTCGTCAGTGTATGAAATAAGAAGTGCTCGCTGATAAGGGGATTCGATAGAAATTTTCTTCTTCAGTTAGTCTTAATACAATTTATGATTTATTGTCACTTGTATCGAAACCTGGTGACCTAAACTGTTGAAGCTTATTTTTGTTATTTATTTTATTCAATTACGGAATACAAATTGAAATCGAAAATGTTTCGTATAAATTGTGACATTCTTCTTTTTTGTTCTGAAAATCATCCTTGATTTTTGACGCTTTTTTATTGTTTCGAATCATTTGCCCTGAAGGATGACGATATTTACAAAATATTTGCTGGGTTCACTGTTTCTGTTGGGTATTCCCCTTTATCTTCCACTCGAACCCTTCGAATAGAATTAGTTGAATCTTTCATTCTTTGGTCTTTAGTTAAAAATTTATCTGGAACGAACAGTATTGGTTCTTTTGTTTGAAATTGTTCTGATAGTTCTCTGGACTCCTGTCGAATAGGTTTGGTCGTTAACCTTAAAATCTTTCCTATAAATTGTGACATAGTTCTTTCTTAATTTTCGTTGTCTATTTAAAACTGAAAATTGTATTTGATTCTTTCGACGCACGCACGTTTTTTTATTGTTTCAAATCATTTGCCCTGAAGGATGACGATATTTGCAAAATACTTGCTGGTTTCAGTGTTTCTTTTGGGTATTCCCCTTTATCTTCCACTGGAACCCTTCGAATAGAATTAGTTGAATCTTTCATTCTTTGGTCTTTAGTTAAAAATTTATCTGGAACGAACAGTATTGGTTCTTTTGTTTGAAATTGTTCCTATAGTTTGTTGGATGGCTGCTCTCTAATAATTATTATTCTGGACTCTTGTTGAATAGTTTTGGTCGTTAATCTTAAAATCTTTCCTATAAATTGTGACATACTTCTTTCTTAATTTTCGTTGTCTATTTAAAACAGAAAATTGTATTTGATTCTTTGGATACACGCACGCTTTTTTATTGTTTCAAATGATCTAATTTGTACTTATTGTGTTCCAGTGGTAGATTGTGGATGTGGGTGTTGGTGGCAAAGACCTTCACATACACAAGGCCAATCCCCCCACACCCATATAAAGGATTGTAGAATTTTTATTTTGGTTGAATGAACTGTAGAACCAGTTCAGTTATGTATGTAATAAGTATCTTGTTTTTCGATGACTAATTTTCTGAAAGAAAACGCAAATTTCAAATAACGTCTGTACTAATCAATGAAAAGGGTGAATAAAACAACTGGTTTTAATCGATATTAATAGTGTTCTTGGTCATTAATTTATCGTATATTGAACTTATAAGTTACTCCCACAAAGGGATTTAACAACCATACTGTGGTCAATAATTAATTGGGCATTGTCAATAAAAATTGTTTACAATATTTAATTTACTGGGAAAGCCTTTTTAAAATATTGGACTGCAGGATTTTTATGTCATTGTTATCGTCACTATCTACCAGCTATTTTTATTTATGATATGTATATAAATTAATGTTCCTTCATCCTAGTTGAAACGGCTCTGCCAGTCTGGCCGATATATCTAAACTACATCACATATTAATCCTGGTTTTGTATTAATTCAGAACTTAATTTATATAATTTTATGTAGAAAAGGATTTGTGGTAGATAATTCGTAAAAAGAAATTAATTAAATAATTTATTGGATACTTAATAAATAATTATTACATAGGTAGGTATTTAATTTACTTTCAAAATACGTACTAGGGCGTCTAAAACTTAAACATACGCATAGTTTAAAATAATATCTTTACATTACATATAGTTAGAGGTAATTAATTATAATTAGATCATTACAGTTCAAGGCAGATCGTTTGTATGAGATTGAATCCATTCTACTAAACTAGAGCTTCTTGTGTAAACCGTGGGGGCATTCTGCTGTCCGCAGGGCAATATGCCCCTCGAAACCACCCCTACCAAGACACCATTCTTCACAAGTGCACTTCCGGAGTCTCGGATGCAAGACACCTGACTCCTGGGGCCGCTGGTACAAATATTCTTCTCGTCGAGAACGTTTGTCGTCTTCCCCACAGTATTGAGAATTGCAGCGCATTCTGGAAATGAATTTTAATTTAAAATCTTCGTTATCTATGCCCAAAAATTTACGCACCTGTTAGAGATATAAGTTTTTTTGACGCATATCGAAGACTTAGAGTGTATCCCTGTTCGCCTTCTCCCCAACCTGACAACACAGCCATTCCCGTGAATTCTTCCTCAGGTCTGGGAAGATACACTGGTTGAACTGCCTTTGACCATGTGAAGGGCGATTCCAGGATCACGATGGCTATATCATGACCGGTTAAAGTTTCTTCACTGAATCAAAAAAAAGAAATAATAATTAAACCAGTTTACTGCCCCTTTGAAGAACACTTACTCTTTAAAATCGGGGTGGGAAATAAATTCTGCGACCCTTTTCGTTTGTGTTTCGTCGGTGATCTCTTCCAGGTGTTGGATACCGGCGACTACGATGTAAGTCCCGTAGGCCCTTCGGCAATGGGACGCTGTCAAGACGTGGGTGTGGGAGATGATCGTCCCGCCGCAAACATGGGACGTATATACCATCCATTCCCGTTCGATTGATACCATGTAAGGGAACTGGTTCCTCAAAGCCAAACCACCTGTAGTTGATTTAAGGGGATTGAGGTCGTCTTCGGTTCCTACAATGACAAATAAGTGAAAAATTAGAAGAGCAATAATTCTGTGATCCTTGAAGAAGAAATATAGTTAGACGGGGGTCAGCCCACTACCCATCTCATATCTAGACCTATTTATTTTTTTAAATTGCATCTATTTTTCTTACAATTCATTTGGCATAAAAATCAAATCATATTATAAATTAAATAAAAATCCCCTTTTTCTTACTAAATTCCCTAGGTCTGATAGGGAATAATTTGTAGATCAGTATAGGTAAAAGTTATGGTACCTACCAGAACAAAAATTACTTAATGAGACTGTTAATGATGTGTGAAATACACGAACTACATTTTCCAAAAATCAAATCAACCAAACTTTCTTTAGATTGTAATCTTTGTTGTTTGGTATTAATTTCAAATCTGGGACTATAAAGAAATTACTTGAAGTGATTGATGAAAATATAGTAGATATAGTATTATTTAGGGTTAGGGCGATTTTAAATGTCCTCGGATTAATAAATTATTTCTTGAACAAAAAAAAATATAAAAAAATTAAAATTAAACTTACCCAAAGCTAAGACAAATGCTGAAAAGAGTATAATCAGCGAGGTGATCATTTTGAATGTAATTGGCGTTGTAGCTGCTTCTTGCACCAAGATATTGTTTTTAATAATTATAATTATTGTGTGCCACTTTATTATATTCCATTATATAGGGATTGTTATCAAATAATTGTCATTACTAAATATGACTAGGTATATTGTAGAAAATTATAATTGTGATTCATATAGTTTGTTAGGTAGCATTTTCTTCCGATTGGACCGACGTATTTGTTATTAAACAAATGTAATTTGCATTGTTTTTAATAACAATAATACACACTTTAAAAGGAAAAACGTAACATCATTGATAGTTACTTATTATATACCAGCTACTTATTGGGAAAATGTACGCAAAAGAATTAAAATTGTATTATTCTAGAATAATGAATACTTATTATATTTCTCTTAAAGGTTTTTTTTTCTAGGACTATCGAAACTTAAAAATACGTTCCACTTGATATGAATTAAAGTAGTTTTATGATTTAATCTTGTTTACACTTGCTTTACACATTATCAATGGTGATTTGGTGTAAGATAAGTAAATTGCAACAAAATCGATACATTCGCTGATTAATCATTTCGAAAATTGTATTTAATTTTTTACGTACACTACCTATAGATATTTATCTAAATACTTGATCGAACAGCAAGGTTTTACTACGAACAGGATCCATCAATCAATAAGTGGATTGAAGTATAGGAACATGTCAAAAAATCAATATATTGCAATTATAGCAAAAGTTACATCATACTTTTTTTTTGGTATTTTATAAATATGAGTCAATAAAACAAAAATGTAGTTTAAAATGAAGTATTACATTCTTTAATTTTTTACATAATATCAAAATTTTGGATTATCTTAGACCTATTACCTATTAGACCTACTGAAGATAAATATTTAAATTCTCATTGAATACGATACCATTACATTTTCCGTACATATTTACTTCAAATATTAAGTACGGGCCTGGAATTTTTACTTTTTGTTTTGAAATAAATTTAATAAGTCTACACCCTACGGTATCTGACCAATTCCCGACATTACGTTGTAATAAAACAATTACTAACTCAGTACGACTCTGTACTTTTTCAATGGAATAATGAAAAAGAATGGTCCAGTCTTTACACTATAAAGAATAAAAATTAGATCAACAAAAAGTTGAAAATCCAGACGAAGTCGATGACGGTCATTTTCAAAAAGCTTCGGCGTTTTATGGAATGTCTAATTTTGCATTTTGTTGTATGCATATGATGGCATTAAGATAACATGTATACGAAATTGCAAGTAATGTTTATTTATTGATAAGTTGTACGCATTGTTTTTAAATAATTCACTAGGTAACGAAATAATTCTGTGAAAAATATTGACTTAAATAATCCTTTACGCTCTTAATAGAAAAACAAGCGAGGAATTTGTAGATATTCTATCATCAAAATAGATATCTATACGTATGTCTATACAGTCGAAAGAAAATAACAAAGTAAAGTGGTTTAATGCAAGGTAGTGAAATCAAACATGTTGATGAACTGTTTCAAAACAATACCTGAAACAGACAGAGCCAATCCTTAACTTCTCTGAATTCAAGTATTTAAAAGCAAATAAAACCAACCCAAAAAACTATTGCTTTCCTTTTTTCTAGATTGTTGGTAGCTGTTAAAGATTACTTGGATGCTCCGAATATCTCTTTATTTTCTTGGTTAATTAAAGTTTCATGTACTTAAATATGTCCCAATCCCAGTAGATTTTCAAAATTCCCTATCCATAACTGACATCATAAAACAATTAGAAATTGAACAATTGCAGGCCTTTAAATAATAGTAGTTTTTTTATTTAGTGTTTAGTTTTGTGTACATATTTATTGACATGGTTAAGAATAAACGATTTTCAAAGAGACGGTATACATAGATCTCCATTCTATAAATTAGCATTAATCCAATCGAAATGGGAAGAAACTTTGGTGAAAACGCATGGGGCAATGGTGATTCCACATGGTGCTACACCCCACGAGGATACCGTCTTTGACCACCAGAGTCACCACTGCAAACCGTCAACCTTTGCCTTCCATTGGTACAAATCATCGTGTCGTTCAAACGATCTTTAGTTCACACAACAGCGAAAGATAAATACTTTTGTTGAAGGTGCAATGTTTACAATTAGAAATTTTACATACACTCATTGTGCAGAATTTTTAGGTCGACGCATTGCATAGTGCTTGGGAGAGTGGAAACTGAACTTGACTTTTTCCCCATCCCAAATGACGACGTCTCCACACGTTTCGGCACCTTGACTAGGAAGTTGAATGGGTTGGAAGAAGAGGTCAAGATAAAAAGTCTGACTACTGTTATTAGGGAAACGTCCCATGGGGCTGCATTTTTATTGTTGAAGAGCGAAGAAAATGAAATTATAAAAGGTGTATTAATCAATGAAGATGGTAGTCAATTAATTAATTAATTAATTACCCAGGTCAGTTCTTGTGAACTGCCAGCACGTCGACTTTGAGTAGATGAGGTATTTTTGACTCGATTCGGAATTCCTGCGTCGACATTGTAGGTACCGTAGTCTTCTATTCCATGGGCAGTTGTGAGGACCACCCATGTACTAATGAGACTACCACCACACATGTGGGAAACGCCACCGTAAAGAAACCTGGTAGGGGAATTGGTCTCTGACAGCATTTAGACCGCGTATTATTTTGGTATCGTCGAATGGCAAAATTTCTATATGTTTTATGCAAGTCGGATGATCACTACATTTATCTTTCGTATATTTGGGGCCCTTTTTCAGATATTAAAACATATTAATACAGAACGAACAAATAAATGAATAGATAATTCAATCTCAAATTAATGATGAAAAACGGTTGGTACTGTCCCTCCCTTACCGGGAATTGAACCTGGGCCCCTGTATAGTGGATAAAATTAATACATTAATACAATTCTAATAAAACATACCAAGGGCTAAAGAGCACACAAGGCTTAATAGAACAACGGGGAACTTCATTCTAAAACTGCCCACTTCACTAAACCAAACCAACATACAACCCGAAGATTTCGGATCTTATTTATATGAATAACGTATCTAAGTTTACGCAATGGCATGCCCACTTATATAGATATATTTGATTAGCATCTAATGCAAATATAACACAAATATATTTGCGCGTGTACCTCCCTCGCCCTCCTTGGACAACTAATGTACATATTATATTTGTATTGGATGCTAATCAAGTACAAGCAGTCTTGTAACATTTTGAATTATTGGAGAGAAATAAGATCACTGATATTTTGTATAAATACTTTCAAAGATGCAAGCAGAGCGATGTGATGTTATCGGTTTTTCTCTTGAATATTTCTTTTACAATTGCGTTCAGAACTGTTGGGCAAGGGGGGGGGGCTATGTACTATAGTTTTCCAATTAAGGGGTCTGAAGATGAAGGTTAAGGATTTACCTGTAAGGACATTGGAAAAATCTTCTTGACTTTAGCACAATCACTACTTGAATTGTATTGGACTAACTAATACTCGTTTCAATACACAATTACTTCATCAATTGATTGCACAATGAATTCACACTGAGCATTTTGGCGAAAGCGTTCCAAATGTGGTGTTACAGGCGAATGATGAGGATGAGGATACCGGATATAGTTAGAAATGAAGAGGTATTAAAAAGAATAGGAGAACGGAGGACTCTATGGAAGTCAATAAGAAATAGACGAGATAGGTTAGTAGGACAATTTTTAGTCAGAGACATATTAGAGGCACCAGAGAGTTAGAAGGAGTAGAGGTAGACCTAGATTTGATTACTGTTCGCAAATAGTTAAGGATGTGGGATGTTCTAGTTTTAGGAAAAATGCGAAGATTAGCTCAGGATAGGAAAGAGTGGAGGTGCGTATCCAACCAGTCTTAGGACTGACGACCTTATGATGATGATCACATGAGCATCATGATTTCGAATTGACCGTTATCATCAGCACGCCGTAACACGATATCGACCAATCTAAAAGCTATTGGGGGTTGATATAGTAGAAGTGGAGCCGGAATTAAAAAATGAAATTGAATATGAGAGAAAATTTTTGTATTGGTAATATTCAACACTTCGGATTTAATTTCTGTGATCAACTTGCAACTACTTCAAATAATAGATGGTCAAAATTGTTTACTTATGGTGATTTTATTTAATGCTTCGATTTGCTAGCACATTTAATTACATTCTCAGAAGTAAATGCCTTTCAAAGGTGTGGATCATATTGATTTTACAATCTCTCGTTGATCCAGTCGGAATAGGAAGAAACCTTTGTGAAGACCGATGGAGCAATAGTGTTACCACATGGTGTGATACCCCAGGAGACAACACCCACTTGGACGCCGTCTTGGACCAATGGGCCACCAGAATCACCACTGCATGTTCCTTCATATCGTCGTCCACTGGTACAAATCATCGAACTGTCCAAAGGATCGGAATATCCCAATACACTGATTAAATCAATAGCGCATTCTACGGAGAAAGATAATAATAATAAGCGAAAGGGTATCATTTAAAATTAGGTATTTCACGTACGGTTGTTTGGAAGAATTTCTAAGTTGACGTATTGTAGAGTCCTTGGGAGAGTGGAAACTGAACTTGAAGTCCTTCCCCATCCAGAAATAACGACGGATCCAGATACATTATCACCTTGGTTGGGAAGTCCAACAGGTTGGACGGAAGAAGTCAAGGTGAAGGGTGTGGTAACTCTCATTAGGGCAATGTCCCACGGTCCTGGATCGCTACCGCTGCAGATCAAAGGAAGTGATTTTGTAAATAGCAAAAGCCGATAAAGATCCTATTGAAGTAATTACCCAGGCCAATTTTCATGAGAGATAATACTTCTGACACTTCGGCTTTGAGTAGATGAGGTGCTTTCGACTCGATTCAAAAGTCCAGCAACGACAGTGTAGGTACCGTAGTCTTCGATACAATGGGCAGCCGTGAGTACCATCGATGGACTAATGATACTAGCACCGCACATGTGGGAGGGCGTCGAAAGGAAGCCCCATCGTAGGGAAACCTGGTAGGGGAATTGGTCTCTGACGGCATTTTGACCGCGTATTATCCTGGTATCGTCGGACGGCAAAATTTCTATATCTTTTACGTAAGCCGGACGGGGTGAATTTACCTTTTGTACCTTTGGTGCCCCTATTCAGAAATTAGAATAAATAAATAAATAAATAAATGATTGCAATAAAACTTACCATGGGCTAAGGCGCACACAAGGCCTAAAAGAACAACGAGGAACTTCATTCTTGAATTGCCAGTTTACTCAATTAAACCACTGTACAGCCTGATGCTTTCGGCTGTTATTTATAGGAAGGAAACTTATCTTCAAGTGCTGGACAAAGCACACTTATCTGCAGGTGCAAGGTACACATTAGCATTTTATTAATTGCATAGATTGCAAAGCGTCTTAATTTTTTCTTCTAGCTAATCACAAATGTCGTTTCAGCAAAGTGTTGTTCGTATCTATATGTTTGTAAAATGTCTTTATTGATTAAAATTATGCACTGGAGAGTGAATTTAAAGAAAGACGACAATGCCTCTTCCCAATAAATGCTTCTAGCATTTTTTGTAATCATGGAATGATCGAGAAGAGGTTTTCAGCCCGAAGACATTCATCGCATTTCTGAAAAACTAGAACTACCTACATCTCTAACTATTTGCAAGCAGTCATCTAATTTAGGTCCTTTTTTTGATTTGTCTCTAACTAGTGGTTCATGTCTGAAGAGGTCCTCTGTAAATCATCTCGCCTATTTCCTTTTCTGTTTCTTCTAAACCCGAATTGACTATCTTCTAAATTTTCTTCTACCGTTTTGACACCCATTTCTGTACGATTCCAGTTAAGATTTTCGACGCATGAGAAATTAAGTTGATTGTTCTAAAATTCTTGTATCTATTTGTGTCTCCCCACTTTGCAATGGCTACAAGCTCATTCCGTTTGTAATAATTCAGGATTTCTCCCCATCTCGTATACGTTACTAATATGTCAGTAAAAATATTTAATATTAAGTGCCCAAATAAAAACAAATACCAAACCATTTTATTTTGCATTTTAATCCAAGCTTTATCTGCACCGATATATGCACTATCACATGCGTATGAGATCATCATAGAGTCTTTATCTAGGTATGCGACGCAATAAATCATTTACATACAAAATAAAAATCAAAGGTTCTAGAATAGTGCCTTGTGGCACCTCGGTATGAATGTTTTATTTTTCAGCAACAATAAGGCAACAGCTTTGCTGATTTTACCAAGCATCATTTTCAATTATTTTATTTGGACATTGGAGGTTTGCGGGTTTGTTGACCATGGTCTAGATTGGTTGATGGTTGGTTGGTTTTTTTCTGATCATTATTTATTTACTTGAGGATACCGTGGATAGAGGTTAGAAATAAATAGGTATTAGAAAGAATAGGAGAACAGAGCGTTATACCGAAATTGATAAGAAGTAGGTCAGATAGATTGGTAGGACACCTTCTCAGGCATGAGGGGTTAGTCAGACAAATATTAAGAGAAGTAGAGATAGACTAAGATTAGTTCGTAAATAGTTAAGGATGTGGGATGTACTAGTTTTATGAAAATCCGAAGATTAGCTTTTGATAGGAAAGAGTGGAGGTGCTTGTCCAACCAGTCTTAGGAGTGACGACCTTATGATGATGATGATGATGATTTATTTGAGCCGAATACGGGAAGGGAGGGAGTTGTACCCCCGTTTTCCAATTAAGGAGGGGCTAAAGCCACCTTCCTATCTCCTCTGAGCTATCCCTTAAGTTTTAGTACCAAATATAAAACTATATTTGCATTGTTATGATTTTAATAAAGAAATCATCATTGTGTTCTATTTTTAACGGAGAAAATGACCCATCGACTTAGGCTGTGAAGTAAATTGGTGATGCCTTCTACTTTGGGAACTGTTGGAACGGGTGGGTGGTTGTGGTTTGTTTAAGAAAGACAGTACCTACAAGAGTGAAAAACTGCAGATTTGAGCAATTAGGTAATTTGAGTTACATTGTCGCTCAAAAGTTTCTGCTCTGATGGTATTAAAAATAATCTTGCTTTGGCGCTTTTTCCATGTTGAATCTTATGTATTATTGTTATTCTGGACTAACAAATGTTTTAACACATTATGAACAATAAGTATAAGTTTAGTGTTTTGTGGAAGCTATCACACGGGTATTGTGATTTCGAACTTATTGCATATCAGTAAAGTGTGTAAGGTGTTGGATCTAATTTTTGGGGTGAACTTACGATACAATAGACAACGTGTATACTTCATAGTAATTTTATTTAGTCTTTCGTTTTGTGTACAGACTCATGTATTTACATGCTTAAGAATAAATGTTTTGCAAAGCAGCGAATCATCTCCGTTTTACCAGTTGGCGGTAATCCAGTCAGAATAGGAAGAAACTCTTGTGAAGACCGACGGGGCAGTAGTGACGCCACATGGTGTGATACCCCACGAAACGATACCCACTTGGATACCGTCTTGGACCAATGGGCCACCAGAGTCACCACTGCAAACCGACACATATTGGCGCCCGCTGGTACAAATCATCGTGTCGTCCAAAGGATCGGAATATCCCAATACGTCGATCAAATCGTTAGCGCATTCTAAAGGGAAAGACGGATTTGTTGATCGTTATTGTACTTACGAAGATATAACATTTGGAATTAGGCATTTCACTTACGGTCGTTTGGTAGGACTTCTAAATCGGTGTATTGCAGGGTGCTTGGGAGAACGGAAACTGAACTTGATGTCCTTCCCCATCCAGAAATGACGACGGTTCCGGAAGTTTCATCACCTTGGTTAGGAAGCTGAATAGGTTGGACGGAAGAAGTCAAGGTGAAGGGTGTGGCTACTTTAATTAAGGAAATGTCCCATGGGTATACAGAACTACCGCTGGAGAGTGAAGAAAGTGCATTTATAGAAAGCATAATCGGTAAATATCCATTTAATTAATTACCCAGGCCAGTTTTCGTGAACGACAATGTTGCTAGCAGTTCGGGATTGAGTATTGGAGGTACTTTCGAGTCGATTCAGTAGTCCAGCAACGACGGTGTAGGTACCGTAGTCCCGGATACAATGGGCAGCCGTGAGTATCACCCCAGCACTGATGATACTACCACCGCAGATGTGGGAGGGCGATGAAAGGTAAGCCCACCGCAGAGAAACCTGGTAGGGGAATTGGTCTCTGACAGCATTTAGACCACGTATTATCCTGGTATCGTCGGATGGCAAAATTTCTATATCTTTTACGTAAGCCGGATGGGGTGAGTTTATCTTGTGTACGCTTGGCGCCCCTATTTAGGTATCAGAACAAATAAGTAGATAATTAAATTAATGATTGTAATAAAACTTACCGTGGGCTAAGGCGCACACAAGGCCTAAAACAACGAGGGTGAACTTCATCCTTTAATTAAATTGCCAGTTTACTCAATTAAACCACTGTACAGCCTGATGCCTTTGGGTCTTATTTATAGGAAGGAAACTTATCTTCAAGTGCCGGACACTTATCTGCTGGTGCAAGGTACATATTAGCATTTTATTAATTGCATGGATTGTAATGTGTCTTCATTTTTTCTATTTGGTAATCGCTAATATTGTTTGAAGAAAGTTACAATCGTATCTATGTACGTTCATACTTCTAAACGTGTTTTTAGATTAAGATACTGGAGAATTAATTTAACTGAAGACGAGAATCCTTAAATACATTCAGCAGTAAGTACCGTTGGTTTGTGCTCTTATCTTTTGCTTTACACCCTAATTGGTCATCCCTTTTGACAAGTTTACAATCTTATTCTTTTTGTAATCAATCCAAATCTTCTCCATCTCGATTATGTATGTACGTCACCAATAAATAAAACTCTTTAAAAATTCTCAAATAAGTTCCCATATGGGGGGAATAATATCCTCGAGGTGATTCCTTAGTACCTCTAAGTGTTCCAGTGCTGCCCCGTATTAATGCTGTATGTACCACCCTATTGGTGTCCAAAAATACTATTATCCCTTTAGGGGAATTACGTTCAGATTTTTTTTTTTAAAATTTGTCCACAACCTCATCAGAGCTGCCTGGTATTCTCTCCCAATCAACTGTATTGTTTTCTGAGTTTCTGTATTTGACGAGTTTTTTATTTTACGTAAGTTTTTATTCAAAATGTATAAAGACCAAAAGGTTCCTAATGGCTTTCTACAATTGATAACATTGTTAAGAAATGTGATCGAACATTGCTGTTTAACTCTTTAGGTTCTTGTTAAGGTGGTGAACGAGGTTTCTGTTTTAGACATGCTGAACGAAACATTAGCCAAACAATAAAATATTGCTAACTCCTGTATCAAGAGAATTTCTTATTTTTTTGGTCTATATTGGTCTCAAACTAGGGATACACTTATGCACTATGATTGCATGTTGCTAACTCTGGCGACCTTGGGCATTTTCGGGCATTTTCACATATCAATCAAAGTGTTCTAAAAATGTTTGGAACCCCTGTGGGTAATTTTCTCCAATATGATGGACGTGTGGGATGAGCGGCCACCACACATCAGTTTAGAATGAGTGAGAATATTCTATAGCTTTTTCTAGGGGTGTTTTAAAATAAAATGTTCTCGACTGTCTCGGATTGCTCGAAGAAAGAATGTTCTAGAGGGAACCGGACCGGAGAATCCAGGATCACTGTGTTAGAGATGGGGTTGGCTTCTGATACTATATTAGATTTATACATTTTGACCTCTATATAAGAAATGCTTGAATCTCCTATAATGCTTGAATTATATTTAGTTTGATGAGACATATTTTTCGGGTTGTTAGGTCTTTATCAAAAGTTTAAATGCTAAATTTCAATGTATGTGTAAGTAATATTTGTAACTGGAAACAGATGGAGGGTTAACCATAGTCTGTGGATTGTGGAAAACTCTCAATAGTAGTCAACTACTAGGCGTTTCTTAAAGTCTAATCGGGTACGTCTGAGTTTATTAAACGGTGTTGTAGAGCAGTCTAAAGGTAAGACTAAATATTAAGTGCAATTCGTGTAGTCCATGATGCAATACAGTTCTAAAGCAGCAAAACTGGTACAATTTTAAGGAAACAGAAGAAACTGAACCAATTGGTTGCACAACAGATATTTCAACAGCAATCCCATGAAGGTAACAGAGAAGTATCAAACCCGAATTCCACTGTATTAGAGAAAAGTGTAAGCATTATTAGATGCTCTATTTTCTATTGGGAATGTCCGACGTTTTGGATTTAATTTTTGTGATTAACTAGGAGTTTGTATTGATTTAAATAATAGATTAGACTTATATATTAGTCCTTGGTTGTTTTATTTAATGTTTCGGTTTGCGTACAGAATTATTTATATTCTCGAAAACAAATGCCTGTCAAAGGAGCGGCAGATAGCCGTTTTACAAGTTATTGTAAATCCAGTTGGAATAGCTTGAAACTCTTGTGAAGACGGAGGGGGCAATAGTGATGCCACATGGTGAGACTCCCCACGAGACGATACCTACTTGGACACCGTCTTTGACCAATGGGCCACCAGAGTCACCACTGCAAACTCCTGCGTATTGTCTTCCACTGGTACAGATCATCGTTTCGTCCAAAGGATTCGATCTTCCCAACACACTGACCAAATCTTCAGCGCACTCTACGGAAAAAGATATTTTTATTGATTACTACCACGTGGTGAAAGGTATTCTGCTTACCTTCATTTGGTAGAACTTCTAGGTCGACGTATTGTAGTACACTTGGGGCACCGGATATTATTCCTGACGTCCTTCCCCATCCAGAAACGACGACATCTCCAGATGTAGGGGCTCCTTGGCTAGGAAGTTCAATAGGTTGGACGGAAGTGGTAAATACGAACGGTGATGATACTATTATTAAAGCAACGTCCCATGGAGAGACAACACTACCGCTAAAGGGTCGAGAAATGAAGTTAGAATAAGCGTAACCAATAATAGTGGTAAGTAGGTATTTAATTAATTACCCAGGCCAGTTTTCGTGAACTACAATATTGCTAGCACTTCTGCTTTGAGTAGCCGAGGTAGTTTCGACTCGATTCAGAAGTCCAGCCACAACTGTGTGGGTACCGTAGTCTTGGATACAATGGGCAGCCGTGAGTACCACCACAGAACTAATGATACTAGCACCGCAGATGTGGGAGGCCGTTGAAAGGAAACCCCAGCGCAGGGAAATCTGGTAAGGGAATTGGTCTCTAACGGCTGCCTGACCTCGAATTATTCTGGTATCGTCGGATGGCAAAATTTCTACATCTTTTATGTAAGCCGGATGGGGTGAATCTATTTTTTGTACGCTTGGTGCCCCTATTTAGATATAAAAGAACGTACTGTTATTACTGGAATAATGTAATGACATCCTTGAGTCTATTCTTTAATTAATTATACTGGCATTAGATAAAACGACTGATAAACTGATTTTGAAGGTAATCCAACTGGCGACTATTGTCAACAACAGATTTTGTTAGCTAGACGACTTTACTCCAAAACCAAAAACTTTTATTGTGTCTCAAAAAAAAAATAAATTAATTTTAATAAAACTTACCAACGACTAGGGCACACACAGAGCCTAAAAGTACTACGAGGAGATGCATTTTTTAATTGCCAAATTACTCAACCAAACGAGTGTACAAAGTCGAATCTTTCGACTCTTATTTATATGAGGGAAACTTATCTCAGCTTAAGTACAAGACAATTTACGTCTGCACTTGTAGATATATTTAATTAATATTTGATTAATCGTCTCGATAGCAATATGTCTTTTTTTTACTGGTTAATCCCATATGTCGTTGCAATAAAATATTTTTAGTATCTACAGGATTATGAAATGTCTGTAAATGAAGATTATGTACTGCTGAGAGTGGTTCCTAAAAATAATTCCATTAAGCAGAAAGTATTGACGTTTGGTACTTCTTTTAGGAATAAATAGATTATTAACAAAATTTTCCTTCTGTTTTACAAATTAAATTGTAGTGTAGAAGCAAAGCCAGATAGGGTAATAGTTTTTTTTTTATTATAAAAACGTTCACCAACGATTCACCGTAAGTCTAAGATTTTATCAAGGTGAGTTTTTAAAATTTTATACATTAAATTTCTAAAACCTTGTTATTAAATTTAAAAATTACCAGCGAATGATGAGGATATCGTGGATAGAGAAGGTTAGA